CTCTCCTCGCAACTGTCCTGCTCCTCCCTGTCGACATTGCTCTCATCTCGTCCACGACTCATGCATCACTCGGGGTCAAGAAAGACTGGGCCACCGAAGAACGGGTTTACGAGATTCTGCAGACACTTCGCATCGTGTACTACTCCCTTTACAGCTTCGACGCTCTGCTGTGTCTCATTGTGATCCCCTTCGCATACTTCTGGTACGAGGAATACGATGAGATCGAGGTCGAGGAGGGACGTTCGTTCGGCAGTCGCCTGGTCAGCGCGCTCAAATACACCCTGGTCTTCGTTGTTCTGGTCGTGATTCTCTTCCTCATTGGCTTCTTCGTGCCAGCTGCCGGTAGCGACTCGGAGGCCAACTGGGATCTGGATTACTTCAAGCGGGTTCTTGTTCAAAACAATGGGCAAAAGGCGCTGGCCTTCGCACTCGGTCTTCTCGTCACTCTGGGCACTCTGCTCTATATCCTCTACACCGCGGCCGGCCTCGCTCTTCTTCCCATGTCATTCATCAAGTCAGCGCCCTCGATTTCCGCACCTCAGCTCTCAGAGAACACTGCGTCCGCCTTGGAACAGAACCGCGAGCGACAGCGACAGCTGGAGATGCGCAATGCTGGACGCCCCGAAGGCATGTCATCCAAGGACAGGCGTGAGCTTGAGGCCCTCATTCGGGAGGAGAGGACTCTGACCCGTCGGGAGAGACTGGCGGCGGAGGCATCGGGAGAGGGTCACAGCACCATCTACAAAATCTGGCTGAAGATCTGCGCCGTTCTGAGGCCCATCAAGCTGCTCGGAGGTGTTCTGATTCTCCTGCTGTCTATCTTGATTTGGGTCTCGATGTTGATCACAGGCATTGACAAGGCGAAGAACTCGCTGTGCAAGGAACGATGTGGCTACATCCTTGGCCATATCAACATTTTCCAGCCCATCAACTGGATCTTCCTGCAGTCTGCCAAGGCCTTCCCAGTTGACTACATCCTCATGGCTCTCCTCGTTTTACTGTTTTTCAGCAGCTCGATCACGGGCATTGCAACTGTTGGGATTCGCTTCCTCTGGATCCGCATCTTCCAGATTCGGAAGGGCAGGACTGCCCCTCAAGCTCTATTGATCGCCACAGTCATGCTGGCTCTGATCATTCTGGCCATCAACTATGCCATCGCTAACATGGTGGCACCACAATATTCAATCTATGGCACACAAACTTTCTGCACTGCCCCTCACGGTTCCAACTGCGGAGACAGGCCCGACTACCTCGTCCAATGCTCTGAAGGCTTGGAGAAGGACGCCCTGAAAGTGTGCACTCCGTCTATCATGGCTGAGTTCTTGAATCGCATCACCATCACCTGGCCCTTCTTTGGCGCTCTCGACTTCTGGGCGCAGTTCGTCTTCCTTGGCGTCTTCCTCCTTGTCTTCGTGACAGGTCTTTTCAGGACGCCCAAGCTCAACATGTCTGAGATCGACGAGGACGCTGAGGCAGACGAGGAGGAGGGTTTGCTGGCTAGCACTGGCCGCCGATTCGGTGCTACGTGGCAGGATATTACGGGGCGGTCGAAGTCTAAGAACACTTACGGCACCTCAGAGAATAACAACGGCGGCCGCTCTACGGAGGCTTAGGTTATAGGCACGAAACACTAGGTTGCTAAGCACATGCTAGGATTGTAACATAAGCACATCGCATGGAAGACTCGGGTTACTAGCATGGAGTGTGGAAATTTGTTTTTCAAATAGGTACGGCATGGCACACGGCGACGGGGGAAAACGGAATTTGGTATCTTCTCACAGAATGCTCAAAACTTTCATTGTCATAACTTCATGATGCTCCCAATGCTACTCTCCTCTGCTGGTCCTTCTTCGGCTTGACGAATCGGACTGCCTTATGGGTGCGGTCGTCAAACGCGGCAGCCGGTCCAACGTGCATCTCGTGCCAGCAACGGGCACAGTAAACGTCTTCACAGCCGAGGCACTGCAGCGTTGCGTCCTCCAGGCAGACAGTACACCACGTGTCGGCGTCCTCGTCCGTGTAGCCCGCCTTTGACGTCAACCTCTTGACTGCCCGATCGGCGGGCTGGAACGTAGGTACCGAAGGCAGGCCGATACCTCCCTCGGACGGTGCACCGAGACCGCCTAGGGCAGCCATCCGCGCCGCGAGGTCGTCATCAAGGTCCTCGTGCTTCGGCTGGCCCGATGGCACCGACGGCAGAGACAGGCCGGGCAGACTACCGTCATCATCCACCTTGTCGGACTTTGGGGCTGCAATGGTCGAGGGCACAGAAGGGAGGGAGAAGGCCGGGTCGCCGTCACCTTGCTGGTCCTCCTCTCCGGCCTCAACCGCAGCACCTTGGTGCTTGTTTGGTGGGTCAGGCACATCTTCGGGCTGCTTATTGAGCCGCGCATCGTCGAGAGCCTGGGAGAGTAATGTTTCCACCTCCTTGGTCATCTCCTCGCCCTCCGAATCATCGGCGTCCCTGGCCTTCCCGTCATCGTTGCCATCGTCGGTACTGTCCGGGGCGTGCTGGGCGGGCGACGCCTTCGAGAGTTCTGCTAGAAGGGCGTTCACCTTGGCCGACTCAGCCTTGGGGTCGAAGTTCCACTGCTCCTGCGAGCCGAGGTCTTCGTCGGTGAGCAGGTCTTCAAGGGTCTGGTCATCCGTCTCGAGAAATGGATCGACATCATCCGTCGGAGCCTGGGACTGAGGCGGTGCCGCCGCCGGGTGGGACCTACGGGGCCCCGCCGGCGATAAGCTCGCGGCTTCTCCGCGGGCTGCGGTCTCGTGACCGATGGGCTTTGAGGTGTGTGACTGCTGCTGCGGTGGTGGTGGCACCTCGCGCTCGGGAGTGTTTCTGAGAGAGCGAAGCCGGGCGGACAGTGCGTCCTCTCGTGAGGGGGGCTTGGCGGGCTCGACGCCCGTAAGAGAGACGTTTAGGGCACTTTGAACACTTTTTAGCACTGCTATGAACCAGATGAGGTCTATTGGTGGGTTTGGTTTTGATTACTTTGATGAATGGTCTAATGAGACGCCAGGACTGCCGCCCTTCAGCGCACTCAGGCGATCCAGCAGGCTCTTGTCAGAACCGCTCATGTTGCAGGATGGCGGTTCTCTCTCGATATCAAAGATGTAAAGCAACGTAAAGCGACAGTAGAATTTGGTGAGATGAGTCCTTGTCAAAAGCAGGCGTGGTCTGTGGTGTGATGATTATGCGAGGGGCCAATACTCGCCGCCCGACTGCAGTGAGGTTGTTGAATGCTAAGTGTGGAGCACCAAGCGAGGCAAACCGCAAGGCATCCAGGGGCTTGCTAAACTTGCATGAGATTTGGCTGCAGAAGGATGAGACAGGCGGGGAAAGTCCGATCTGGGTACCTCGTAGCAGTTCGTAAGGCAACCAGATCTACCTCGTGATCATATCGATTTGATCTCGCAGACTGAAGTTATTTAGCTTAACTATTTCTCCGGGATGGTGGAGTGATGAAATGACAGAAGTCCTCAAGTTCTTCAGCAGTGTCGGGCGTATGATGCATTCGCACAGCCTCCGCTACCACAGCGACAGCCACTGTACTTACTATGTACGCCAGCCACCAATTAAGCTTACAATAAGCGAGATACCCTGGGGGACCCAGGCGCACTAGGCAGAAACCTCTGGGCCCAAAGTACCCATGCATGAACTTGCAGCAATGAGCCAGGGAACTGCCCAGCATCATTCCATTGTCCCGGGACTCTGAAGAGCAAGAGACCAAAGAGGATACAATTATAACGAGGACGAGTGATCCGGCGAAGGCAATGATGTACATAAGGACGAAGCTATCATGTCCTCCTGACGGAGGCTGAGCTTTTCCACTTGACCCATGGTGCTGAGGTAGTAGCGGTCACTAGCCACCTGGCTGACCGATGTTATTTTCCCAAGTGGGTAAACGAAAATCATCATATGTCTTAGCGGTGAATATCCTTAACGGCGCGGGCAAAGACATGTCAGTGGCGGGCTTTGGCTCTTACCCTTGTGGTAATGCTCCTACGAGTTATGCAAACGGAGGGAGCGAGAAAGAAGTCGTTTTTCAACCAATCTGAAAACCAGCTCTGTTGCCTGCGGGCAGTGCAGTCGCGCGTTACGGATACATGGAAGCAGGAACAAACATCTCCGGGATCGAAGCTTTGTGGATCAGGATGAACATAGCCAAACGCGAAGGATTGCCCACGGCGGCGCCGCAAGTACCCTGACGCCCAGGGCTGACTGACGATGTATCAGGGTCCTCGTTGAAGGAGACCTGAATGACCTGAATGGTATTAAAACAAGTCGTCCCTTGCTCTGGGCGCTCTTTTTCTTTTCGGAAAGTCGTCTCATCAACAAAACGATTCACCTACCACACCTACCACACCTACCACACCTACCACACCTCAGAGAAACTTGCCTATTCGCACATTCGCTTCTTACCAAGACGCTTGTACCACACCGAATCTTTCTTTGACTTCATCGCGCATTCACCTTTCCAGAGGTGACGCTTAAATCGCCCGGGCCGTCGATCATCAAAGAGAACCCCAAACGCGCCACAAGGGCCACTTACCCAGACTTTGGGGTAAACACGGTGACGGAAGGGAACACACCCCTTTGGACCGAAGTCTCCGAGTCGCATGTCATCATAGGCTGGTGGCAACAACCACTTAGGCAATTACACATCAGTCTGACGGGAATTGAGTGACTCCGACACATCCCTGTTTGGGCGGGCACAGCGCAGCTCTTGGCACTCTGAGACGACTTGAAACGGAAAGAGACAAAATTGCACCCGCTCCCACCTGCTGTTCCTCCGAAGCCTACTTTTTACACTTTCTTACCACATTTTACGACAATCCCTCCCCCAGTCATCTATCTGCCATTCTGATTCAAGTCGCGTGCGGCTAGAACGGCACACCCATCGAAAAGACTACTTTTGCTCCAACATCGCATCTTGACGATCGGCGCACATCCCGCCGAGCGAACCGAAACCGGCGCAAACGTACCGTAGCAACCGAAAATGAGAGTAGATCTCACAGTCGTCGCGCTGACGCTGCTCGCGCCCGTGTGGGCCGCAGCCCTCGAGCCCGGCCTCCACGCCTCAGACGTTTCATTCCTCGCACCAGTAGAAGAGCGCGACAGCAACGCGAATGAAGACGAGAAGCTGTGGAAGCGCAAGGGCGGCGGAGGCGGCGGCGGCGGCAGAGGTGGAGGCTCCTCTTCAGGTGGGTCAAGATCAGGAGGTAGTAGCAGCAGTGGCGGTGGGAGTCGTTCTGGAGGCAGTAGCTCTGGCGGCAGTCGCTCCGGCGGCAGTCGTTCTGGCTCTGGCTCTGGCTCTGGCTCTAGCGGTTCAAGTTCTGGTGGCTCATCAAGTTCTCGTACAGGTGGCTCTAGTAGCGGAGGCAGAGGCGGCGGCAGCAGCGGTGCCAGTGGTACCGGAGGCTCCGCGAGAGGCGGTAGCCGCGACAGCTCCGGCGGATCAACGAAGACGGGCAGCGGCCCCGCGCCGGCCTACGGCGGATCATACGGCGGCGGTGCCAAGGTTCCCTACGCAGCCGGCGCATCAAGAGGTCCCGGTTCCATCGCCCCATTCCTGCTTATCGGCGGTGGTCTCGCCTTCTGGCCCGGTCTTTGGCTCGCGGGCGCCCACATGTACCCTTACTCTCACCCTTATCGCTTCTACAACCAGTCGGCGCGCGAGAACCAGACGAAGCCGGTTATCTGCGGTTGTGCTGACCAACAGCCCTGCGCATGCGACGAGAACAATAGCACCGAGTACATGAGTGCCCTCCTCGGCAACGGCAGCTACCAGGGCCTGAACCAGACTGTCGTAACCAAGGGTATCTACAATAACACCGATACCATCCTCATCAACGGCACCCTCCCCAACGGCACGACCGCCTCGGGCGGTTCTGACGACGTCGGTACCACTTCTGCCGCTTTCCGGGCCGTTTCTGAGGCCCTTGGCTTCTGGCCCATGTTGGCTGTGGTCCTGGCCACGGTCTTCGCCGCATAAGCAATCGAATATGACCCAACTGTACATAATGGGAAACGTATGCATGAATCGGGCCGGCTGTTGGAGATTTTTTTTCGAAAGGAGTTTTGGGCGCTCGATACCCACCACGGAGGCTTCTTGGACCGGGCAATTAGACCTGGACCTGGCAACAGAAACACTGAGTTTGACGGTGGATATTACGAGATAGTCTATTACCAATAGTAATCGACGCTACTAGTACCGGCAACCAATGCTATGTGATGAATAACATGTCAAGAGCGCCATCAAGCCGCATCTCTTTCGGCCCTCCGGGTCTCGCACCACTGTCCTAGCTCCCGCCAAATCCTCTCCTTCTCCGCCGGACGGAGGGTCGCAGCAAGTCCGCTTGTGCTCGTCGCAACAAACACCCTCGCTCCAGCCCAAGCCTCCCCCTTCTCATCATCACCATTACCACCCTCCCTCACAACGCCCATATTCTCACCCTCATCCTGCCACCCGTACCGGAACTCCTCCTTCCTGATCCCCCTGCCGTGCCGCACCCGCCAGATGCTCTCCCAGATGCTCTTCCCCACAATGCACACCGTCTCGGGCCTGCACCCCCGCACCTTCTCCTCCAGCACGCCGACGCCCTCGTCCATCTCCGCCTTGCTGAGCTCCGCGCCGTTGCGGCTCGGCCGGGCGACGATGTTGGTGTTGCCCAGGCCGTAGAGCGCGGGCAGCTCGCGGTCCTCCTGCGGCGCGCACAGCCGTGGCGTGATGCCCGAGGAGTGCAGGAGCTTCCAGAAGAGGTTGGACGGGTGCGCGTACACGTGGCCGGAGCGCGCCGTCTGCAGGCCCGGGTTGAGGCCGACGAAGAGGATGAGCAGGTTGGGCGCGAGGATGTCGACCAGCGGGGAGAGGTGCGCGTAGGTTGACGGCGGGGCGTAGCCGGTTGCCTGGCGTTTGCGCTTCGCTTTTGTTGCTGTGTTGCGCGGTGGGATGCGGTGTAGTGATGTGTCTTCCTCGTCGCCGGCAGTCGAGGGAGGTTCCGCCTTCACCTTCCGCGGTGTGGTACTGGTGGGTTTGGTGACTCGGGCTGGCGAGCGAACGACGGGGCCGCTGAGTGGGGTCTGTTTCCGGGGGCTACGGCGGAGTGGCGACGGCGACGGCGACGGCGATGCTGCTGGGGACGGGATTTCGTGTTTGAACATGAAATCTTGAAGCTGCAGGCGGCCCTGGAAGCTTGCGGGTTTCGGTTGCGGCTCTGCGCCGTCGAAGAACGGGGATTCCATGGCCTATATTTGGGTTTGAAGCTTATTATAACGACGGACGAGAAAGAAAGTGCAACTATCTAGTGACCGATATCTGGTGAAATGAACCCCCTGATTGTATGTCTCTTGCTTAGGCACAGAAATCGGGGTTGTGTGGTGATGTCTAGATGTAATGACAGGTGCTCTCGTCCGTTGCTACAGGCAGAGCGGTCCTTTGAAGTAGAGTCGAATGTTGTCGAAGTCAAAATGACTGATGGTAATGATGAAGCAATTGATGAGATGAGATGGAAGCTGAGTTCAAGTCAGTAGTCTGCCAATCAACTACTCCGTACCTACCTTAGCTCGCGCCACTGTTCCAAACGAGTCGCCACAGGGACGTCCAACCCCTGGCAAGGACTCTGGGAAAGACCCACATAATGTGCCAAACTCACCTTACTCGAAGTCGCATCAACAGACGAAGCTTGTCAGGCAGGCAGTGGCAGGCAGCTTTTCATGGTCCTTCGAACTCAAAGGGAACGACACAAGTGGCTCGGAGACTCACATCGAGAAATAATGCTTGGTAGATGAACGCTCAATGTCTATACGGCCTGCAGGCCTCGCAAACTCCCCAAGTGGTATCTATCATGCAGCTGGTTCCAGACCCGTATGTACAACCAGTACAACCAGTACAACCCTCACGCTATGCTCTCAAAAAAACATCGAAAACCACCGCTTGAAAGCAGACACCTCTGTGACTTTCCGCTTTTGCCCTTCCTATAGGACGATGATGTTGTCGACTCTCCGCCCCTGCGTCTCGATGAAATACTTCCTCCGCACGCCTACACCGAGAGCGTTTCCAAACTTCTCATATGCCTCTGGGCCACCTCCGCGGATCATCACCAAAGCAATGGGATGCGGCCTTCGCATCCCTGCCGGTGTTGTCTGCTCAACATCCAAGTGAGGTTTGATAAGTTCATACTCCCACAAGTCGGGGGCACTGTAGACATAATTATTGTCAAGCTCTTCTTCGTCGACAATGATGATAAGCTGTAAGGCACGTAACGAAGGCGTGTAGGAGGGAATGTTGGCAAGCTTCTCACTAAAAGAGCAGCCCCCACGTCGCATCACGATGACTTGATGCTGACGAGGTGCTTCATCAGGAAGCCGCCCGTCGCAAGCATACCCTGCCAGGTACACAGTTTGCCATGGGAGATTCGGTGGCTCGTCGTCGGTGGGAATCGACGCATCAGGAGTGTCGGGAAGAGGCACTGCGCCTTTCCCCACCGATATTGATCCCATAAAGCTCTCAATGAAGAACTTTTCCTGACTTCCTGCAGGTCGCGGAGCAGGGGTATTGGTAGGATCGAAGACTGATGTCACGGCACGAATCATGGACTTGAGCATCGACCTGTACGCCGTGTTCATGCTCTTGGAAGAAGCTTGGTCCTCCTGCATGTCAGAACCAGGCTCCTCCGCCAACTGTACCTGATCTTCCAGGTCATTGATGTTAATCTCCAATCCTTCAGAAGGTACTGGCTCGCTAGCATTGTGGACTTTGGGTTGACCGTGGGCCATAATCAGTTCCACGAAACCGTTATAACGCACCCGGTTGAATAGAGGGTCGGAGATGCCATTCAACAGATCCGCGTCGATGTGGACTGGCTCATCGCGACCGAGCGGCATGTGATTGACTTGCGTGACGCGCCATGTATGATCGTAAGCAGCGTCGTATGAATCCTCCCGCACAAAGTGGATCTTCAATCCATTTAGGGCGGCTATCCTGACGCCCACCGGTGTCTTGAAGGCAGCTGTATTCGCAAAGAGGTTGTTGAAAGCGCTACCAACGCCGCTCTGCTGGATGCTGGACGGGAACTCGATGATCAAAGTTGGCTTAAAGGGCAACGCAGCGCAAGTACCATTATCAGGAATCAAAGACCTCGGCAGTGTCCAAGGGAAGAATGCGTGGTTCGCCTTGTACCGAGAAATAGAGCCGTTGCTTCCCTTGCCCGCAGGAACTGTCTCAACCCCACTGTGTGGGTTCGAGATGGTGTGCAGGTTGACGAAGCTTGCAGCGTGAAACACGTCCGGTCGAGCGGCAAGAACCGAGCCAGTCAGCGGGACTTGTTTTGGAGCCGGACAGGTGTTGGTGAAGTTCTCGTCATAATAGACATTGATATTCTTGGGCTGTTGGCGATGTTCTTTCTTCTTCTTTGGTTTCGTCCTTCGTCGAGGAATGATGAGCGGGTGCGCTTCGGTTGTGAAGACGTACGCTGCGTCGAGCTTGTTCAGGGGATGATCTGGGTCGAACAAGAGGTAGAGATACTTGGTGGTCTCGCCAAGGAAGAAGCTCTGCATGCGGTCGGCCTTCTCCCCAGTGTCAACATTTTGCAAGCCAGACCAGCCACATCTAGTGTAGCACAGTCTCTTGATATCGTTGAGTACCATCTCTCCAACGTGAATATACCAGGGGTCGTTGGTCGCACGGTAGAGGTAGTAATTTGACTCGATGAATTCGGGCCGGCCGGGCCACCATCCGATTCCCGAATCAACTTGTCTTTCACGAACCGACCATCGCTCTGGAAGAGCACCGTAACGCGTCCACAACGCTGTGTATAATAGGTTTGCCTCCTCGGCCTCCTCCACTTCACCTGCCATGGCGAGGAGACCTGGATAAAATGCGGCGAGGCTGTCAATCCAGCTCGTAAATGCGTACCCGCGGGTTCGATGACCGGTCATGTAGTATGGGTGGTGAGCATCATTGTACAAGTGCCGCTTGATAGCTGCGTGGGCGTGGTGCCAAGCCTCCAAAAAGGCCCCAGAAGAATGTTCTTCAGGTGTCAGCGGCGTATCGTGAAGGTCATTAGGATCGAGCCATAGTCGGTCCGTAGGCGGCTTCCGTGTCGTGGTGTTGGGTAGTTCATGGCCAGACAGCAGAATATGGCTTTTGAGAGCATATTCAAAGAAGCTGTCGACACCAGCGCCGATGCCCGAGTCAAAGCTGACCCATTCGCCCTTCTCAGGATCGATCGCATTCCCAACAAGACCAATTTCGCTCTTGCCTTTCCACACTGCCCAGAAAGCCCTCTTGGCCAGTTGCTCGAATCTCGGGTCGTCCGCCAGCCGGCTAAGGACAGTGAACTCGAGGACCAGACTTCCTGCACCAGCACTGCATGTGTCTGTCTTCTCGTTGGTGGCTCGAGGGGAGTCTGGGTCGTCGCGCGAAACCTTGTGTAACGGAGAGTTGACGTAAAACGGGATACCATGCCGTAGATTGACTCGTGGGTACGGCAGCCCAGTCTTGGTGTAGAAGGCAGGTAAAAGTCGTTCCGCAAGATCTAGTGCCAGCCGGAGGAGTTGACCATCATACTTGAAGCCATTTGGCCATGATATCGGCGGCAGCTCTAGCGGGTCCGAATCTTCGTCTTCCTGGTGGTTGTGCCCCGGTTCGTACCCTGGAATAGGTAGCTCCCCGACAGCGAACAAATGTGCACTCAGCAATCCACCCACTCCGCGAATGACTGTCTCAAACACCTGGACCTTGCTGTCGAGATCGAAGCCCCGAGCTCTGAGTCCTTGCCCGGACGGTCCCGGCCTACCATCTCCGTAGTATTCCACGAACGTCGTGACGCTCTGCTGAAACTCTTGCAAAGCCCATAGGGCAGCATTTTGATCGGAAGGAGTTCCTGCAAGGATTGCCAGGGTCGAAAGACTGTCAATCAGGGTAAGGGAGTAGTTTCCGAGGACATCGTTCAGGTCGTAGTTGGCGGGGTTCGCGGGATCGCGCGTCAACGG